TCTATAGGCAGGTGGCCTCCAGTCAGCTGCTGACCCCTGCTGAGAGGCCTGGGAGCTTGGAGGACAGATCTCCCCCAGGCTCTTCTGAGACTGTGGAGCTGGTGCAGTATGAGGCAGAGCTGCTGCGGCTCCTAGGGTCTGAGGTGGAATATCAGTCTTGGAGCAGTTGACGGAAACAGCCCCTCCTCCCCGGTCTTCTTTCTCCTTCGAGTTCACCCTTCCCCCACCGCTCATGTCTCCCCCACGGAGCAGCAGACTGCAGAAAGAGGCAATAATACGGACCAACAAGAAGCCGCCTTATCAATGCCAGCATTAGTGACTGGATTGCTTTCTCTTTTTTTTGGGGGGAGGGGTTACAGTTAGTTCTCATCTCCCTGTTGTTGTTGTTGTGGTTGGTGATGGGGTGGAAAGTTGAACTCCACTTCTGAAGACAAGAGGTCTGGAGATGGTGGGAGGTGGCACCAGGGTCCCTTGGACTGGCTTCTACGCTTATGACCAACACCGAACACGGGCCTGGGTGGCTCTGGCCTGTCCTAAGGAGAAACGAGAAAAACCCAAATCTCTTGAGTGCCCCTTTTTGTCTCCCTGTGCTCTTCTGTCTTCCATAGTATTTATTTTATTAGTATTTAATTTGTATTGTTTCATTGGTTTCTGATAAGTCTGTATCACTGTGATGATTTGAGACAACTTGTTGTATTGAGGGACTTTCTTTACCTCCTTTCCCTTTTCTTTCTGCATAAGCTTTGGGGATGCTCCCTCCCTCTGAGAAAATTATTCCCAGGTTGTCTTTCTCCATTTGGGGAGGGAACTGGGTGAGGAAGGATAGGGGGACGGGACGTTGTCATATGACTAAACAACCTGGCTGCTGCTGGCCCAGAGCTAGGGGGCTGGGGGCAAATCCCTGGCCTTTGGTGCTCCCCCACCCCCTGCCAGTTTTGCCCCACCCCTGCCTTTTGTAGCAGCTCTTCCACCTGGAGACTGGTGGTTACTGGGGAGCAGAGTTCCTGAGTTACTGTAATAAAGGCAGGTTGAGATGGGCCTGAGGCAAGGGTGCTCCTCTCACAGTGCTCCACTCAGTGCACAGTATGAACTTGTTCCAGCATCTTTTGCCCTGCATCCCTCCCCTACTTGCCTCACCGTACCTATCCTGGGCTCCCCATCTTGAGATATTGAGCCTTTGCCTTGCCATCCCTCCAACAGACTTAAAGCATCTTCTACCCCTCTCTCCTCCACCTGCCCCCGATTCTCCTTTGGAATCTGTAAAGGGCCTTGGGACTAACTAGGCGAAGGCAAGGGACCAGTCTCTAGCCTGGCTCCACATCCACTCGGGGACTGAGTGACTGGCTCCTAGGCCTTCAGATGCCTAGTTAGATCTCTTACCAGAGAGAGGGAGGGAGGAGCTTGGGTTATTTCCCTGGCCCCGCCCCTCCATGGCATTGTCTCCCTCCCCCTCCCTTCTTATTTTTCTACCAATTGCTATTTTTCCGAACAATCCTTGTAGAGAGAATGTACCATCCAAAGGCAGGAGGGCCTTGCTGCGGTTGGCTCTGGATGGAGATGGTACAGTTTTATTGTACAGGTGCTAAACAACAACAAAAGAAGAAAATGGAAAAAAAAAGACAAAAAAAAAAAAGGAAAAAAAAGCCAGTTTGGGGATGGGACATGTGTTCTCTGGAGGCTCCTGACCCGTTTAGGAGCATTATCTCTTTTAACTGTGTGTGGTTTTTTGTTCCCAGGGGAATTTCTGAGCCCCCTTCTGTAGGACAGCCCCATCATCCTACCCAATTGGTTTTGAACAATTGTTTTTCCCTTTTAACAGCAACAAAATTATATAAATAGATATACATATATATATGAAGTTGAGGGGGTTGGATTTCAATTTTCTTTGTTTTGTTGGAAATTATACTGTGTGGTTTGTTTTCTGTTTGTTTTGTTTTTTTCTCTTTTGTTTTGCATTTTGGTGTGTATTCTGGCTGCCCTTTATGTTTCGTTTTAAGCAACTGGCTGTGGAGTCAAAAACACTTGCATACTGAAAAAAACCTGTGTCAGGGCCTTTGTCTCCTGTCCTCGATTTTCCCATTTGTGGCTTTTGGGGAGTTAGTGGTCCCTAGAGATACAGTGAGGGGAAGCAAGTTAAAATAGACCTTTGGTCATTAGGTCAGGGTGGGACCCTGCAAAGGAACATGGAAAGGGGCATGGTCCAGGGCCCCTGCCCACCTGAGGGGAAAATAGTCCAACTTGGGGTTGCTTTGATTTGGAAATGTGGGAGGGGCATTCTTTGTTTGCAACTGAAGTAACAGGAATAGAGGAGGGCCCCTTGGCTGCTGGGTGGCATGAACCCCCCAATACAGTCAGAAATCACCTACTGCTGATTCCTCTGGGGGCCAGGACTGCCCACGTGGCTATACTGTGGAAATCCCCACCTGCCCCTTACTTGCCCTTGCCAGTATCCTCAATCGTTGTACCTGTGTTTTCCCTGCCCACCTGCCCAGTGCTGGCTGTCCATGGTTCCAGGTTCCAGTGACCCAACTGTAATGCAAGACACTTGCCCCTGGTTTTACGATGATTCCTCCTTTAAGATAACCTGTGGCAGAAGGTCTGTCTGTAGGCCCCAGAAGGTGTCTGCTTACTGTTTGAGAGGAGTCTATGTGAAGGTCTGGATCCTATAATCTTTAAGCTCTGGATCTTTGGGTTTGAGTGGGCAGGCCAGTATAATATGTCTGGCTTCTTTGAGGCTGGACATCCCTCAGGACTAAACTTAAGCTGCTCTCCTTACCCAGCCTTCAGAAACTTGTTTCCCCTTGAATTTGCCCAGATACAGAAACATCCATCTAGAGGTACAACATTAATCTGCCTTCCTGCTGTTCCCCTCGCCACTTCCTGATCACAAGGTCATCACAAACAGCCCATAGTGTTTCTAATTTCAGGTCCATCCTCTAGTTGAAGCTTGCAGTCAGAAGGCAAGCATACATGGTGGCACAAGCCCATGGGGGAGGGAGGCAGAATGAGTGCTGGGAACTCTAGGTCAGCCAGGGTTATATAGCAAGACCCTGTCCCCAAAAAGCAAAGTGTCATAACGCATGTCTGTAATTCTACTTCTCTGAAGAACAGATGCCAGGAGGTTGGTGGGGGGTGGGGGGTGGAGTGAGGTCAGCTCGGGCTACACAGATGAGACCTTGTCTCAAAACAACGAAAAGGAGATGCAGTTCAGAAGTCAGACATGTTGGGAGGTTACAGAAGCCATGTTGTGATTAACTGTATTCAGATAGGCCCCAAATGCGTGGGAGCTCAAAGGGCTGGGCAAGGGCACCTGGATGCCTGGAACAGATGGCATGGGAGAGGTAGCGAACGGGGCATACTTAAATATAAATAGATGCCAGGGAATGATGTTTGGAATGAGGGCACAATCCAAGCAGAGGCTTGGAGGAGAGAAAAGAATCAACAGTACTTTCATATTTTTATGCTTATGTGTTCTTTTACCCACACATTAGCTGGAGACTATTGTCAGGTTACAAAGATCAAGGCTGACACCAAAGCTCTTCGTCCTTTCTGGTGGCAAACGTTCTTCTAGTCCTTTCCTTTGCTGTGTTGGGTAAGGGAAGAGCTACCAAATGTTCAGGCCTGCTAGATTAAGAAGTGGGGCAGGCCTAGGTCTATGTGTCCCCCTTACAGTGGCAGTTTCCACTATCAGGGGGGCTGGTCACTGGGTAAATGCTCCTCCCAGGCTCGGGTTTGGGGGGGGGCTCCACCAGGACCTTGGGTTCAAGCTGCAGGCAAATGGTTTTAACAGATGTCTCGATCGTTCTCCGTTTCAAGGGAGAAAGCGGTGGCACGTGAAAGTATCGCTAAAGGCAGGTTAGGGAGAGGAGCATCAGATCTGGGGCCTGTCGAGGGGTGGGCGATGGCCTGGAGCTGCTTTTGTGGCTTTAGGGAGTCCACAGCCAGCAGGAGAGCCCGGTCGGTCGCTTCTAGCTCACCTGCGTGTACTAGAGACAGGGGGCGGAGCCAGGGAGCGGTTGGCCAATGAGAAGGCGACATTCTGCGGACTGCTGAACACCCTCTTGGAGAGGGAAGGGGGCCGAGGAGAAAGTTCGAAGCTTCAGAGCCAGGGAGGTTGTCGGCGGGAACCAAAGCTGCCCAGAAGTTGGGAATCAGGGAACACTTCCAAGGGACAGGAAGACGCCCGCTTAGTCTGCTTTTCTGGGAGCGGCGAGCCACGCCCTGGCCGCCCCTCCTTCCCGGGCTCCGCCTGGCTGGCTCACCATCGCCGGCTCCACAGCGCCACCTTCTGGATATTGGCTTCCATACCCGACGCACGGGGCAGACGCGCTTGGAGGCTGCGGCAACTGGGAACCCAAAGAGCTTGCTCACCCTGGGTCCAGAGCCTCCAAAGCCCTGGGTAACTGCTTTTCTGAGTATAGTCAGCGAGCTTGTGACCATCAGAAAAACTTGTCTGTTCCAGCCCGAGGGGTGGAGTGAGGGGTGACATTTCTACCTCAGTCCCACCGAGGGATGAGGAAATAGTGCTGGGCAATCACTGGAAAGGAGGTGGTGGCAGTTGTGTCGGGAGTCGCCTGTCAGCACAGCATAGTTGAAAGCAGCTCTAAGCTCCTGGTGAACCCAGCGGTAGATAAACACGTGGGCAATGGACGGAGCTGCCTGAAATGTTATGATGGGTCAAAACGCTGTGGGAGGGGCTGGGGATGTAGCTCAGTTGGTAGAGTATCCAGCACACAGGAAGCCCTGGGTTCCATCTTCAGTACCAAATAAGGCATTGGGGGTGTGTGTGGCAATGAATGTCTGTAATCTCAGAATGAGGGAGGTCATGCTTGGTCACATAGTCAGCCTGGGCTACATGAGATTGTCCCCACCACGGCCCCCCAAAAATGGCACCAAAATAAGAAAAGCATGATTAGCTCCTGAGCATGAAATGACCTACTTGTCATCTTCCTGCTCCCATGTAGGGCAGAAGGTCCCACAATTGGAATCTGAACGCATTCGGCCTTTCAATAAACATTTATTGAGCACCTACTGTGTATCAGGCACTGTGGCTAGGTGCTGGGGATACATCACTGACTAGCACACAGCTCCTGCCCTTGAGGAGCCCACAGTCTATTGGAGGGGAAACATACATGAACACAATCAAAGAACTACATACAATGTGCTACAATAAGAGGTATATACAAAGTGCTACGGGAGCCAGGAGGAGGGAATCACATATCAGCTGCTGGGAGGTGAGGACCATCACTTGAGTCCTGCCTCCATTAGGCCATCACAAAAGCAGGGGGGGATTGCTGCCACCTGACTCTGGCTAAAGTCAATCTGTCTCCTGAGGTTCTCCTATTGCCTCTTCCAGAACACTTGTTGGTAAGGGTTAGTTAACCGGTTAGCTAGTTTAACACTCAGTGTAGGGAAGAAACTGAACAGGAAGCTGTCTTTAGGATCAGAGGATGTTGAAAATGATACAAATCTTGGATGTTAAGACAAGGGGTGAGGTGGTACCGTGAGGGCACTGGGCCAGGAATGGCAGGCCCTGGGCAGTGAAGCACCTGGAGTAACTGCCTGAGGAGAGGAGAGGAGAGGAGAGGACAGAGGTCAGCTGCCTCAAAGTTTGGTACACAGCTCTCATCAGCTCAATCAGTAACTAGTCACTGATGCTTGTCTGCTTTATGGTATGCCCAGTTTTGTGGGGGACACGGTGGTGCCTACCCCTCAGGAGGTAACACACAAGAGAAATTAAAGGTACAGAGCTAAACTTAAGGTCTAAGTAACAGTTTGTGATTCTGATAGAGATGTCACAGGCTGTTTCTAATCACCTGTCCATCAAGTGGTAGTTACAAGTTTAAGAATTAAAGTTAGGAACTGGCTTTTCCCACTGAATTCCATCTTGAAACATAATTTTTTGTTCTTAATAAGAGGATAGAGCATATTGGTTAAACAGAACCCAGGAAAGAAAAAAAAAGGCATAGGTGGGAACAAGTTCAAATACCTTGGAATCCCTTTGGAGTACCTTGGCATGGGGTGGGTTGGGGACCAAATAATGAAGTGCCACCGACTTGGGAGTTCTTTTCCCTGGTGGGGCTGATATCAAACTTCAAATCTTCCAAGAATTACTACCCACAGCTCTCCAAGTGCTCCCCAATTCCTGGGGCCCTGTTACGATTCAGGAGCTAAAGGGTTAATGCTAGGCCTAGGCCAGTTAGAAAAGCCTGGAGGATGAGCATTTTAAGTACTGGCCCTATCTGCAGGCCAGGATTCACCGAAGGCTTTTTAGCAGAGGAAGGCCAGAGTAAGTAGCCTGCCAGATGACACGTGCTAAGAAGTCACATTGGCCAGGATGCTAATATATATTGGGGAGGGGGAAGTTAAACAGCATGAGCTAGGCTGGAGGCTCTGGGGATAAAGACAGGCCAGACATTAGGACATGAGGGACAGGGGCGGGGTCAAGTAAAGAGCCCACCAGACAGCTCTGAGATTTCCAGTCTAGAAGGTCAGGGAAATGGTGGCATCACTAACAGAAGCAGATCACTAGAGCCGTGAGCCAGGGACTTAGAGAAGCAGGTTCTGGATTGAAGTCATCTTAAAGAACTGACCCATGATAATAGCAGGACCTTTGGAAAACACCCACACACAAAGAGATGACGAGGAACCCCCACAGGGACAGCACAATGGTGGGGAAGGCCTCAGCAAGTGTGGGATAACAAGGCCCGAGAACCATGGAGAAGATGATTTGACTATGAAAGTGTTGACAGCTTTAGGAGTATGAATTTCCTTAGAGCAGATATTAGATTCCAGGGCCACCCCGACTCACACTGTCTCTTTGTGCTCATTAAAACTGATTGAGCTGGGAAGTAGCACAGTTGCTAAGAGGACTTGTCAAGCCTGCACAGAGTCCTGGGTTTGGTCCATAGAACCACATGGTAATACACGCAAGAAAACAAGGTGGGGCGGGGGGAGGCAAAAGAACAGGAAGTTCAAGGTCATCTTCACCAACAGAGCAAGTTCAAAGCCCCAAAAACCTAAAACCCAAATACAATAAGAACAGCAACACTAACAGCAACAATGGTGACCTTTTCTCGAGATGCTTCCTTCCATCTATCAAGAGATTGGCATAGTAAGACAATCTTATCAGAACAGACATTTCAGTGCCAATTGCTGGGAATGTAGCAAATGCACCTGCATAGAGCCACAGGGAAGGAGCAAGAACAGTACGGGAGAACGATGACCAGCCAGGGAGGTAGTTAAGTCAAGTGGGTGCTTTGGCACAGAGGACATAGCAAAGGTCCAGGAGCACTGATTCACATTAACCAAATTCAGAGGCTAGACTTGCTTCTGGGCCTGACACCTCTACGCATTGGCCCTAAACCTGGTAGAAGAGAGGCAAACAGATTCAAGGAAGGGAGATGGAGACCCTCAGCTGAGAGACTAAGAGAGACCAGGAGAACTCTTTCCAGAAACAGAAAAGAGAGGAGCCGAGTCACGTGCTGACAGGACCTATAGGAACCTGTGTATGCTCACTCCTGTCTTCTTGGTGAAGCAAGAATTGGGTTAGGTGTGATGGCTGGAAATGAAAAGCCACCGGTCCTCCTGAAGTCTTTCAGAGCCATTGTGAGAGGGAGAGGATGGGAGAGAGAGCGAGACTTCATGGCTGGAGCTGAGCTGCCTTCTAGCCTCAGCGACTGATGACAGATGGAATTTCTCAGGGCAGACAGAATCAAGAGGGAACCCAAGATAGGGAAGGAAGAGTACTGGGTCACAAAGGGCTATTATTGTCAAGCATAGGGCTGATTTTATACAAACAGCCAAAAGCCCTGGCCACAAACGTTCAATCCACTCAGGCCTGGCTAGGGACTGTATAATTCTGTTAGGTGCTTTGCCCCACAACTTTCAGCAAAGTACTCCAGGTTCTAGCCTGACAGCAAGGTGACTATGACAAGCAAGTGCTCCCAGGGCTAAGTGTGTTCCTTTTCCTTCCCACTATGGTTTTAGCCTCTTGTCCCTTAGCAGTGTCCTCTCAGCATGTGCACCCATTGAAGTGTTCCTACCTAGACCTGTTCCAGCTTTGCGACATCTCTCTAGACTGGGAAGGGGACATTCAACTAGTACCTTCCAGTCTCAGAATGGCATTGTTGCTTGCAAAAACAAAAGTTACAGAGTGCTTTCTCTTAAAACTGCCTAATCTCTGTGGCTGACCTAGAAATGGACGGACACACACACAGACACACACACAAAGAAAAGACCTGACGTCTACATCCCATCCTCCCCAAAGAAATGAAGATACAGACCCACAAGTGCACACAAATGCATACGAAGATATTCACATATTGGATGGTAAGTTCCCTGTGTAAGGAATACAGATAACAAAGTATGACCAGGCCTAACTCTTCTTGTGAAGCCTCTGGCCAGCTCTGGCCACAAGCTGCTTCCTGGTTTGTGGCATTCTCTCCATCACCAAGTCACCTAATTACTCTTCCAAGAGCAGGTCTACTCCCTAGTGCTCTTGAAGGCCATGGTCTGATGCCACAGATGCTTGAGCTGGGCATACTTTGGTCATACGATGCCAAATAGGCTTGGGGAACTTGGAATCAAATTTTCTCATACCCCACTCTACTTAAGTCCACATAAAAATGCTTCACAATTTTGCCCAGTGGGTCATACTTTTTATCCCTTTGTTTATATGTCATGGGGCTCCATCTTAATGAGGGAAGTGGGATTGAATGGGGAGAAAGGAGCCTGGGTCGGGGATCTGGTCAGCAGGCTCCCAGATGTGGTCATACTAGGCTCAGCTACAAACACGGACCCTGAGCCTGATGAGAGCTCAAGTTCAGCCACTGGGGTTAGCCCAACAGTGGGGTTGCTAGGGGGAGACGAAGTCGGGTTCCCCACAAGGCTCAGGTTATGGGAACCCCTTGAGATCACCTGACTCTGAAGTGGCTGAAGATGAGCCTGGTCTCTCAGGAGCTCTCTCAGGGTCTCTTCAGGAACCAACAGCCCCTCCACGGGTGCCCCAGTAACCACACCCTGTACATATGAAGAGGACCTCAAGGGCCCCTCCTTTACCACGGGCACTGACGTGCCACTAGAAGTCCTGATAAAGGCAGCAATGACAGTCCCAGGGGGCTGAGAGCTAGGCCCTGCTGATCCAGCACTTATGACCTGGGATGGTACTGGGTTGCTCTGATGGTTGGCCCCGGTCAGAAGTTGGGGGAGGCCACTGATTATCAATGGGGCCCCTTGGGTTGCCACCTGGTTCTCTTGCAAATTGGTGTTCAGGGGGAAGGAGGTCTGCAAAGTGAAGGTGTCCTTGAACGTTGACACCTGTGGGACACTCTGGAGAACGAGTTGAGTTGGAGCAGTAGTACTGGCAGGAGGCCCATTGGTCAGCACCGTAGTCAGCGGGATGGTCTGCAGGGTGACAGTTGAGCCAGGGCCCACAGGGGCTACTCCTAGGTGGATGTTACTGGGCGCTGAAGAAGTACTGAGAAGAGACAGAAAACAGCTGGTTACGGCAGGAGGTACCCTAACTGGCCAGGAAAGAGCATAAGAGAAGTGGAGTTGCAGCTCTGTCGTGACTTTATTGCTCTAGCTAGTATGTATTAATGTGTATAGGTCAGAGATTATTCTAGAAGTCTGACACTGTTCAAGCTTCAAAACTGCCCATGAACTGAGTAAGAATCATTGGATTGTACAGTTTGAGGAAACTGAGGCACACGGCCCAGGACCCAGAGAACTAGCAAAGATCAGAGTGGGGACTTTGCATGCAGGCCTTGTGAAGCTTAGAGCTTGCATTACTCGCCATTCTTTGACTTTTCCCTTCCTCTGAAGAGTGTCCCTGTGACCCAAGCCAATGTAGTAGGACTTGCCAACATGACCCCAAACCCAATCTTTTCAGAGAAAACTGCACGTCCCTTAGCATCTGAGGACAGAGAGCTTCCCAAGAGGCCTGGAAGGCACTGTTGTCTGTAACACAAGTATTCTGTTGTGAAGTGCAAGGGACTTAGTGGCATGGGCCCAGATGTAGAAGCCCCAGATGGCTCCTGAGGACATGCTGTGGTGTCATAGGGACGAACAGCCATATCTTGCAGCAGAAGCCCCCAATCCTGTCAAATGAACTGCTGGCTTACTCTAGTATGTGATCTGAGGCAAGTCACATTTCTCTTTTTTGAAGACATTTATTTTTTAATTCCATTTTTTTGGATTTTATTTTGATAAAGTTTATTTTTATTTATTTGTGTGTGTGTGTGTGTGTGTGTGTGTGTGTGTGTGTGTGTGACATTTCTGCTGGTATCCAGAAGAGGGTGCTAGATTCTCTGGACCTGGTGGTTGTGAGCTGCCCAATTTATGTGCTGGGAACCAAACCGGGGTCCTCTGCATGGGTAAGTCACATTCTTTAACCACTGAGCCATCTCTCCAGCCCCGTCTTTCTTCTTGAACAAGTGCCCTGCTTGATTCTCAGGGATTCTATGAAGATCCCACAAGACTGGAAACACAGCAGAGGTTCACAGGAACCTGACAACTGACCCCCTACACTCAACAGGAGGGACTAAAGGAAGACTCCGATTGCTAAGATGCCCTTACCTCACAGTTTTGGTGAGCTTGGCCGGGCTCTGTAGTGGAGTGGCAAGCATGGTGGAGGTAGTGGGGACCTCCTCATCCACAGACAATCCTAACTCCAGGCTTGCAGATGGCTGGAGACCAGTGTGTTGACCCTTTGGTTTCTCCCAGGCAGGGTTATCCTTTTCCTCAGGGGAGGCTCTGGTTACGGCCCTAGAGCTGGCTCTCCGGGTGGTACTGGTAGAGGGTGTAGAGGAAGTAGAGGCCTGGGAAGAGTCTTCTGGTGTTTCAGGGCTCTCCTCATCATCATCAATCACCACCAAGTCCTTAGGCATCTCCTTGAACTGGTATACCAGCCTCTGCCCTTCCACTTTGGCCAGGATTCCTCTCTGATAGTAATATCTAGAGGGACAAGAAGGGGATTGGTGAGTTTACCAGAAGTTGAGTAAGGAGGTCCTGTCTTTCCAACTGTCCAACATGCTACTCTCTAAGGTTTGGGCAAACATGGGACTCAGGTGAGTTGGATAGGGACAGTCCAGGAGATAGGGGAGGGGGACTGGGAAAGAATAGCCAACTCTTGGACACAAAGGGGCATTTATGACATTTTAAAGGTTTCTACAGTCTAACAGATGTACAGAAAAGGGGTCTTCAATGTCAACTCCCATACTGCTTTGAGGCTAAGGACAGTGAGTAGGTGAAGAGTGAAAAAGGGGTACAGGGATGGATGGTAGAGGTCCAAGAATTCTGTGCCCCAAAGATGCATCTCTGGGATAACTCAAAGCTATCTCTGGCTTCTAGAATGTGACAAAAGCCCTCTGTAGAAATTTTTTGGGTGTCTGTGGAGCTAAACTACCCTTCAATACAAAGATGCGAAAGAGGGCTTGCAAAAGAAAAGGGCAGTGTTAGATTCACTTCCTAGAGGGGACTGATCAAGTCTTCCTTCAAGTAGGGGAGCCTCCTTGGGCACAGGAAGATCTTAGCAATCCCTCAGGGGACAAATTCTGTGTCCCAGCAGCTCCTACCTTAGGGCCCGGCCCATGGTCTCATAGTTCATGTCAGGCTTGTTTTTCTGCTTGCCCCACAGCTTGGACACAGCCTTGGAGTCCACCAACTTGAAGATGCCTTTTTCTCGCTGCGTCCACTTGATGTACTTGGGGCAGGTGTTTCTGTCTTGCAGAAGGGCCAGGAGGAACTCCCACAGATAAATGGTGCTGCCTGCAGAAGGAAAGGCAGTGAGGGGCTGCTTAGGCTTCTGAAATTAAGAGGCATCCTGCCCACATCACCTGAGAGCCAGCTATACCTTTGCCATCCTTGGATTTCTTCCGTATGGGGACGCTGGGGTCAGTGACAGGTGAGGTACTTCGGTTGTTCTTGGTCTTTCGGTCTGTGAAGAGAAGGTGGGTAAGCAGAAAGCTGAGGTCAAAGTTAGCTAGGCAAGCCAGATCACTAAAGCTGGGAGTTCAATTCTTCCCCACGACAACAGCCAAGAAGTAGCTATAGCACATCAAAGCTACCACATGAGGAGATGCGAGAGTTGCAAATGACAGACCTTTAGATTCCAAAGTTCAGAAGAGCAGCTAGGCCAGAAATTCCTGACCTAAGTTTTGAAATGGGTGACAACCTAAAGGTGTTGCTGTGAAGCAGGTCAGTGTGGTCCAGAGATATGAGGAGGCAGACTGGTGAGGTAGCATCAAGCAGCCCTCCCCTAAGTAAATCAATAACACAGGGGCTTGGGAAAGTCCAAAGTCCTTGCATAGATGGCCTTTTTCATAAGTGCAATAGAAGCTAGATAAGCAGACAGCATGAGTCATTTTTATAAGATCAGGCCCCCAAAGTCCAGGAACTAGGCAGGAGTCTAGGCCTGGTGTCCCAACACCTACCCTAGGATCCAACCACTGGGGATACTGACATTGCTAGAGGAGTTTATGAACGTCCTGGATAGATAGAAGCAGTGTGAGAAAAAGGCAGGCTTTGGGAAGAACACGTAATGAAGCAAAGACGTTCAGAAGAGGGACCTTTAGTCCATCCCTGCTGGACCAAAGAGATAGCTTCTTAATGCATCTGTAAGCCTTGAGCCACTCAGTCCTTAGGGCCTCCCAGTCCCCCAAGGCTCCCCACACCGAAGATGTACACATACTCTCCCTCATCCTTACTTCTCTTCCGAGACTTCCCAATCTTTCTAAGACTTTCTTCTCTGGAGACCTTTTCCTCCTCCAGAGAATGCTTCTTCTGGTCACCAGCATCACTTGTCTTCTTCGGGTTGTCAGGTTCAGGGGTAGAAAGCAGTAAGTTGGGCAGATTGATGGCCTGGACAGAGTTGGAGTCTGAAAGCACTTCCGGTGTGCTGACTGCAAGAAGAAAGGCCCATGGTAGGCAGAGCCAAGGGCAACGATAGCCATCCCCTTCTCTCTAGTGCTGTGTGGCTCCAGAGTAAAATGGTTAGCACTTGGGGAGAGTGGGAATGCCACTCTCAAAAGCCACATACACAGGATACCTCTAAAGCTGCCTCAGGGGTCTTGTCCCATGAGGAGAGGAAACATCTGCAGAGCTATAGTCATGATCAGCCCTAACCACAATGGCTACATTTATCACTCACTGCTGGGAGTGGGGAAGGGCCAGGCTGCCTTCGGATAAAGGACTTGAATGATTTAGTCATTCATGCATCTGACAACTCAAAAGGACTCCAGAAATCATTAATCCTAATTCCTCTGCTTTCCTGATAAGGAAACTGAAAAATGGCAAGTCATATGCCATGGTCACACAGCAACAGTGGTACATTGTTGGCACTCGGTCAATATTTGTTGAATATTAGTGAGAGGCAAGGGGAGCCATTTCTTTTAGCCTTGGAGACTTTTTTTTCTCTTTAATATACCATAGTACCCTCTTGGGTAAAGGCAATTGATTGGGGGACTGTCTGGAGAAGGAGCTGAGAGGAGCTACCTTGGGGATCTTCTAAGGAGCTTGGGGCCATAGCAGACCAACAGGCATCTGTGCCCTCTTAGAGTCTGATCCTTCAAGAACAGGCAACAGAGGCTGTGAGATGGTTCTGTGTGTAAAGCACCTACTGCCAAGTCTTACGACCCGAGTTTGAGCCCCACAGGATCCACATTGTGGGAGGAGAGAATCAGCTCCCAAACACTGCCCTCTGACCTCCTCCACATTTATGGTATGGCGTGTGCACACCCACACCCATACACACAAAATCTTGTTTAAAATTTAATAAAAATGGTTTAAAAGAATGGGAAATGGATTGTTCATCCAGCTTTAGCAGACGGAAGGGAGTCATGATGGCAGAGATCACGGATGTGAAACCACTTACTACTGCTGAGTTGTATCCTTCAAGGTGACTAAGGGGACCCGTATGTAAATTTGTCACTGTTTAAAAATTGGTGAAATAACAGTAAAACTTTCCTGGTCTTTGGTGCCTTTCTGACCCTCTCCTGTCAGCCCAGGCCTGAGTCTTTTCATGTGTCCACTGATGGATGTTAGGACCAAGACCGAGCACCTGTGCCTGAGAATCCAGCATATGGATGCAACGTGAACTGGTTTATCACCTTGAATTCAGGTACTCAAGTTCAAACTTACAGATCTGCTTCTCATCCAGGACATCGTTGGGAGTTGCCACATTGAATAGGACTTCAGTGGATGATGCGTTATTTGAGGTGGACACATTGTCATCTGGTTCTAGGTTTCATGAAGTGGGAGGAGAAAGGAGAGTTTCATCAGGCTTCAGAATAGTTAATGATAAGGGCCAACCCCAGGGGAGATGCTCTATGGTACAGCTAGGTGAACATCAGAGCTCCTCCCACCTGACCCTCCTCCCCAAACTTGTTTCCATTCTGGGTGCTACCCTGTCCGAGGAGTTTATGAATGGATTAAGATGATTCCCTCCTCTTTTGTGGGAAGTGTTGGTCATTATGTGGGGTTACTAGCGGCCACAGTGAGCTGCTGTTCCCTAAAGGCTGAGGTCTTTTCTCCACCATACACCTTACCCGACCAGAAAAAGAACAGACCTGTCAGCAAAATACTGCCTTCTAAGATCTGATCCTGTGTCATGCACAAGGCTCTGTCCCTTATGATGCCATTGTGGACCTCATCCAGATCGAGTCCTGAGTACAGATGCACTAATTCAGGATAGGGGACCTGTTCCACGATCACAGCTGGGAACACTGAAGGGTCTTCCAGCTATGGAGAAGAAAGAGATCTGGGTCAGGACTCACCTACTTCCCAGAAGCCCACCCTACCAGATGCAGTGGCCAACCTCACTAAGGGATGCTTTTTTAAAGTTACATTTTTAAAAAATCTTATTCATTTTTGACATGAGGCATACCACGGCACGTATATGGTGGTAGTCAGAGGACAACTTGTTAGAATTGGTTTTCTTCTTCAGTCTTCTGGGGATGGAACTCAGGTAGGTCATTAGGCTTTGCAGCAGGCCCCTTTCATTGCTAAGCCATCTTGCCAGCCCCTCCACCCTGCCCCAGGTGATGCTTTAAGTGGGACCTTAATTAACAGAGATGGCTTAGCTCAGCAGGACTTGCACTCAGCCACATGTTTTATGTATGTGCAGTACAAGGGATGGAACTCAAGGCATTGCGCATGGTAAGCATGTACTCCACCACTGACCTATAGCCCCAACCTGGGCAAACATTTTTGAGTTGTTGGACTAGTCCATGGTCTGAGGCTAGAGCTGAGTCTATAAGAAGAGTCACTACTAGGAAAGGATCGATTGATGGCAAGGCTCCATGTATACCCACTTTGCATGTGACTAGTGGTACCACACTGCACTAGACAAATACAGAACATTCTAGCATTCCATAAAATGTGACTGAATTGCACTGACTGATCTAGAGCCAGATTGCCCGGATTTTAAACCAATATCTGCTATTTCTTAGCACTGTGACCCTAGGAAAGTTTCAAAACCTTTCTGTGGATCGGTTTCCTTATTCATCAAACCAAGTCACTCATATTATTGATCCCATAGGTTGTTTAAACAGATCAGTAAGCATAACACATTCACATTAGGACCTGGCATAGAATAAGTTATCATTAGGTATCTGGAGCTTCTGGGAAACAAATGTTTTTTTTTTCTTTTTAAAATGTCAGGGTTTTGCCTATATGAATCTATGTGTGCAATGTGAGTATCCGTCTGGTACCCATAGTGTAAGTGTCTGTCTGATACCCACAGAAGTCAGAAGAGAGTTGCTTGGAACTGGAGTTATAACAGTTGTGACCTGTCAGAAGTGGGTGCTGGGAACTTAACCTGGGTCCTCTACAAGAGTAAGAAGTGTTCTTAACTGCTGAGCCATCTTTTAAGCCCCTAGTTTTCTTATTTAACCAGAGCACACACATGTTCCTTTCTCATCTATGCATCTATGTATTTATGTATCTATCTATCTGTCTACGTATCTATGTATCTATCTGTCTATGTATCTATCATCTACCTATGATTTATGAGTTCTTTTATATCTGTGACATTTAACAGCAAAGATTGTTTTCTATGAGGAGGGAAAGGCAGCTGAGAATGGAAAAACATGGGGTGCAGAGTGTTCTGGGTGGAAGCCAATAAGCTGTTATTCTGAAGTAGGAAGTCAGAAGGAAGGGAAGGCTAGGGACATCTTAGGGGTTATATCTGAGAGGTGTGAAAGATGTGAGAGAGGGGGGATAGAGGGAAAGAGGGAGACAGAAAAAGATAGAAGAAAGCAGAAAGTGAGGAAAATGGAGAAAGGGTACAAGAGAAAAGGTGATGATGATGTATTATTATTATTATTATTATTATTATTATTATTATATCTTGAAGGAGGTATGTGAGAACAGATACTCCAAAAGGGTAGAAGTTACCTATCCTTTTTTCTCCTAAGTCAGTGGAAAGGGAATAAGAACAGGGGGTGTTAGACATAAATGGGAGAAGACAGAGAAATTGCGGGCAGCCTTGGCTTGGAGTGTCTCTGTCAGAGGAGAAGCTGTGTGCTGAGGGTACAGACATGCTGGGGACATAAAGAATAGGACTAACTGCTGGAGGACTGGGAACAAATGAAAGATGACAAATTAGCACAGAGAATCTAGGTAAGGTCCACCCTTTCTTCCCTTCTTATCCGATGCCTTCCACAAGGCTATATGCCCTGGAACAGACAACCAAGCTGATTTATTCTGTCCAATAACCAGCAAGCCAGAAAGTGCAATGCGTGCAATTCCCACTAGAGGGCAGCCTTTGGTAGGACCAGAGAGAGGGTTTTCTACCCTCCCATAGCTAGAACATCGGACTTCCTCAGAGAAGGTTTTGGAAATGTTCAGCTGGATCTTCTCTTGGACAAATTTTGGGAGATAGCAGACAGATGGGTTAGGGGAAAGACTTGGCTAGGTGACATTGTGTCTCAACTGAGATTAAAATCCAGCATTTTAAATTTCTACTCTCCCTTTCCTTCTTCCACATCTGCCTGCCTCATCTCTCTCCTTTTTGTGCAGGAGTAGAGTGGAAAGCTGCGGACCACTTACCAGCATAGAAAATGCACCCTCCTGGCTTTAGTTAAACACAAGGGGTATAGCAAAGGTGACGAGAGCACCATGATCTGATCCTACCCTAGTTTCCAACATCCCCCATTCCTCCCCAAAGACCCCATTCATGGCATGTCCTGAATCCTTAGGCCGAGAAGGCATTTATGGGTGAGCCCATCAACTGGTCTAGAACCAAGAGTCTGAAGATAGTTAAGACTCCAATTCCATGCCTTAAATCCGGCTGGCAGTGCCCTCTTTGCTATGGAGTTGTCCCAGCAGTTTTCTTACTGTGACACTGGGGCTGAAGGGAAGTAGCAGACATCCTACATGATGTTCAGTTGTATGCAACTGTCCGTTTCCTTCCACTTGCCAGTTGACTCACAGCCCAGGTGGTTTGCTTAATAACTGCTTGGCTAGCCTAGTGGCTACATGTATTATAATGGCATACAGCCAACCAGCTCCCTAAGTGACCATCCAGTGACTCCTAGGAGTAGCTGGTGCCTGATAGGTATTTGCTGACTAGTTACCTGTCAAGCCCCACCCCCTGGACTCACAGGCTGGCTGTTCATGTCTATGTCCCCCTAACTGCCCAGATTGACTGACTGTGTTTTATTCGCAGAGCCCATACCTGGTGGATATCGTCCATCCCGTTGCTTGCAAATTCGAAGACCAGATCACTGGACTGCAGGGCAATAGCCATACTGGCTTCTGCCAGAGCGGACAATGAGACTCCCCCGGCTCCCTGGAGCTGCGGTGGTTTGTTGTTGAACAGATGTTATTCAGGTACGTTAGGATCAATCTAGTGCCTTCTCTGAGCCTCCGGGGAGGCTATCCAGAGTTGGAGTGGGTGTGGCCTATGCCAGGCTCAAGACTGCATGCTGGGCTATGCCAATCACAAGAGCAACCTACAGAGAATGGAGAGATGGAGACAGTAAGCCAATTTCCTTGAACTCCAGTGGCCAAATCGGCTGGTCAAGATAGAGTTCCAGCAGAGAGACAGTAGAAAGGCACCAGGCCTGACATGGGGTAGTAGGAGGAAAAATCTCTGTAATTATCCTGGCTTGAGAAAGACTCCTGTACGATGTCCGTGTGGGTTAGAGGGGACACAGGGTGTTCATGGGCTCAGTTTACCTTAGAAGTGAGGACCAGCTGACTCAAGAAACAGTCTACAGAGGAAGAAATGTCTCACTCGGGGTTGCAGGGAGGGGTGTTGGGTCATATGCTTTGCATGCTCTTTAGCAACCCTACCCCCACTGCCCACCATAGGGTGCTGCCTGTGGGTTTGTGTTCTTGGCTTAGCTTTGCTTTCAGTTTCAAGACTGAGCTATCACCCTGGGAACTTGTGAGGAGAGCCCTGGCTGGGGGAGGGGCCAGCAGAACCTTCCTGATCTTCTATGGCTGGCTCCATCCCCCATATTCCAGGAAATCTCAGTCTTAAACTAGCAAGGCACTGCAGCTGCCTGCTGTTTCCCCAGTATCTACTCCATTACCAGAGCCCCAGGGTGCTTCTAGTGTGATCACACCTGAGGCCAACTCCCAAAGCCCAGCTCTCCAGTCTCCCTGTGACAGCAATCGCTGCTCTTTCCACCTGGAACCCATTAGCCTCTGCACCTGTCCAGGTCCCAGGTCTTTTGCCCTTCAGGTTTCTGAACATGTGATGTTTTTAATGTGTGCAGAACTACGAGCAGGGTGATTCACCCACCAGAGCCAGGAGAGAACCCAGGCTACCCACAAGAGCACACATCGAAATGCCTTGACATTCCGTATGTAGTGCCAAGATGGCAAACCCTTATCCTGGCTGGGAAATAAAGGAGGAGCTCCAGATGGGAGGCAAAGAGGGGTACAAGAAGGGTGCCACAAGTGACCTCTCTGATGACCGCTCTCCTCCACTGGAGACACCCAAGCCTCTCCCACTTCCTTTCCGTTAGCCCACAGGGTTAGCCCCGCCCAGTCTCCACCCCCACACCTTTCCACCTACTCCATCTAACAGCCTGGAGAAGTTGCTAGACTCAGCTTTACTCATCAGAGTTGAATTTCCCTTTGGATGGAAGAGAGAACTCTGCTAGGTCCATCTCTTGTGGAACTACAGGGGTTGGGGAGTGAGGAGATAAGGCGGACAGCCTTCTTCTGGCGCCATTGCTTCAGCTTGCCCCACCCAAACCTGCATGTGACCTTATCCCCCTGTGACCTGCAAAACCTTGCAGGACCATTGGCGTCTGGCTCCCCTAGCCTAAGGCCAGCATTCCACAGTTCCTGCTCTCCCACCAGCCAGAGTGTCTGCCCTTGGGAAACATTCTCATACCGATCACGTGAAAGGTGATCACTTTCTTCTAAACCCACTAGGCCCAAGAGTGAACCATCTGCATCTGCTCCTGCCCCAGGTCATTCACTGGGGCCCTTCTGTTCAAGGTGTCCCTGTCATCTTGCTTTCTCTTCCTAAGCCAGTGTTTCATTTTCAAAAGTTCTGCTCGTACTATTTGCTTAGAAAACCTCTATGCATCTTCCTGACCTCCCCTGTCAAGACACCAGTTTCCTTGACAGTAGGGATGACTGTGGATCATTGCTAAGACCTTGCCTTGTGTTTATGGAATGAATGCAAGAAAAAATGAGTAGCAATAGGCGTGATGGTTCATGCCTCTAATCCCAGTATTTAGGAGGTTGGGGAGGGCAGATCACTGTGATGTAGAGGTTAGCTTGGGCATGAAAACCAGGTTTGAGGAGACAGCTCAGTCTTTTTATTTTATTTTATCTTATTTTATTTTATCATTTTTTCTATTTTTTTTCGAGACAGGGTTTCTCTGTATAGCCCTGGCTGTCCTGTCCACTCTAGACCAGGCTAGCCTCAAACTCAGAAATCTGCCTGCCTCTGCCTCCCAAGTGCTGGGATTAAAGGCACATGCCACCCCCGCCTGGCCGACAGCTCAGTCTTTAAAGTACTTTCCATGAAAGCATGAGTACCTGAGTTCAATGCCTAAAAACCATATATATATATCAAGACACATAGTTATAATCCCAGGGCTGGGGGAGTATGACAGGTAGATTTGTGGGATCTTCTAGTTAGCTGGCCTAGTCTGTGAGCTTCCGGGTAACAAGAGACCCTCTCTCAATCAAACACAAAGGTGGATAATTCCTGAGAGGCTGACATCTGGATCTCCATAGACATGATATACAGGCATGTACACTAACGTTGTCAGTACATACGTGCACCCACATGAACACACTCCCTCTCATGCATACACACAAAACCAAACAACATAAAAAGAGAAAGAAAGAAGGAACAAATAAGTGAATGAACGATCTTGGTCTGCGGGCATCTGTGAATTTTTTTTTTCCCGTATATAGCTAAGTATACACTGAGTGCGTTGTGAGGAGAAAGGTACAAACACAGAGGTTACACTGATATTTTTCTTTACAGTGCTAGTTACATAGGTGCACTATCTGTCTGCTATGAGTGTGCAAACAGACCACAGGTATATATGCATATTCAGGGTGTGTGCATGTGTGCCAAGTGTGGGGACATGTTCGTGAGAGCCTCTGTGTGTCAAAGGGCTACCCTGGTCTGGCCAGCTTGCAAAGCCACAAGCTCAATCATAGGTTCCTCCTCCTGCTCCTTCAGGGCAGGCAGACTGAGCTGCCTTGGTTCGAGTGCTATGGAGACAATGGGGGAGGGCTGGGCAGGCCAGGCTTCTGCCGGTCAACAAGGATGTTTGACTGTGTGCTCCTCAGGGGGAAAAAAAGCCAACTCTAACAAAGGTATGAGACTTATGGGTCCTCAGGTGAGTGATCCCCTACCCTAGGTGCACTCTGCTAAGGAACTGGGAGCTAAGAAAGGTCCCCCAGATCTGTGTGCTTCGAAGGCAGAAAGGAGCAATTCCAGTAGCATTCTTCTATGTGCCTGCATTTCGGTATCTAAGCTCCATCTAGCTGGGAGATCTTCGAAAACTCTCTCCAGGGATCTGGTTCTGCCTAAGGCTAAAGGAAAGGAGTGGAGAGGTCGGGACGTGGCTGTCCTGCTCTCTGGGTAAGGCTTAAGAAACCTACTGCGGAACTTTTCAGTCCAGAAATTTCCCCCTCCCCCTTCAAAAGTTTGAGGATTTGAAAGTGAGAGGTGGAGAAAGGCTCATTTGCATGTTCACTTACTCTCCTCCAGTCCCTCAAAATAACCTCCCTCTCCCAGGAACTTGAAACCAAATAAGCCACCACCGCAGAAGGCACACCCTATGGGAGGTAGGCGAGAAACACACTGGAAGGTTCTTCTCTCCAGGGTCCTCTCAAAGCCCTTTGGCTAGGCCACAACTTCAGTGGCCTCTTGTCCCCCTGGACACTGCCTTGCTAGTGAGTGGAGGTCAGAGGACACGGATGCTTCCAAGTCCACTCCCAAGTCTCTCTTCCGGGGATGTGAAATGATGCCTGGTAGACACACTAAAAGCAGATGTGCACTGCAAGACTGTGTACCACAAGAGGGAGCAAAAAGGCCAGGCTGCTTGTGAACACACACCTCTGGCTCTGAGCTTCTGAGGGCACTTTCCAAACCAAGGCAGCACAGACATGGTTTGGACTGATTCTGCATAACCACAACTAGGCCCCCCTTCAGAGGTACAGACCCTTCCACCCTTCCTTCCTTCCTTCCTTCCTTCCTTCCTTCCTTCCTTCCTTCCT